TGACTTGTTACAAACCCTGGTGTCTTTTAAGTTCCTTTCTAGCTCCAACAGGAATGTAAATAGTCACTTAATGGAGATACCCTTTTCCTGCTTCCTTACACTAGTAGTCTTTATATACATAAACACACACACACATAAACTTTACAATAACACAAATGATTATTTCCTTGAATTCTGGAAGTTCTGGCAAGTAAAATAAACAACAAAATAGAAATATGAGTTACGACTATTAGGAGACGAAATTATTAGTATTTAGAACAAATATAATTAGATACCTAAAACAAAACTAACAAAAAATAAGAATAAGCAAATTATGAGTACAAACTTATAGGCCAAACAAGTCTAAAAATCTATTGTGGTGGGGCCAGCTACAGTGCTAGCAGACCTGGATCAATTAGTAATTATAAATGAAGTTAAATATAATTAAATATATAATTTAAATGTAATTAATTATATAACTTTCAGCTCTTCTGATTTAATTCCACTAAAATTCTTAAGAATTACTTGCTCTGGCAGATATCTGTGCGATTGCCTTCACTAATAGCACTCTTTCCTAAGGAGTATATCCTCATCTCCCACCACCATCCACATGGCTACAGCCAGAACTTTTCTGTGTTTACATGATCCTACTTTCCTGGCCACACTTGATAAATCAGGGATAGGTGCACCTGATCTAAGTCAGTACAATAAGAGGCCTTCCTCTGGATTTTTCAAACTGGAATGAAGAAAGAGAGACAGCCACATGGTTCTTAAAGGACACTGACCCAAATAGCTGTTGGTAACCATGTTTTCTGCTATGGGCAGATTCTGTCAGCAGTGAGAGCAGATGAAGCTGATATGCAGAGAAGTGCCAAGCCAGTTGTCAAAGGGAAATTTGATGGCAGTGGGGTTTCTGAGGTAGAACTATAGTTCTGCTCATCAATTTGTTTGGCTTTATAACCCTTCTTTGGAACCCATAAGCCAATAATTTCTCATTTTTATCAAAGAAATTCAAATTCGGTTTCTATCACTTGCTATCAAAAGAATTACCACTTCATTGACAAAAGGAAATGCATAGAATAAATTTTCTACAAGTAATAGATTTATATTTGAGGCATGTTCATTTTACTGTATACAAATCTTTTCAAGTCCCTCACTATTACCAACTTTTAAAAATTTGGAATGTTCATGGATTTTTGATTATGTGATTAAAAAAAAAAACTTGGATGTTCAGGGTCTAGGGTGTGGTAAGAGAGGTGGGAGGTAAGTTCGGAAAGGTAAATTGAGATTACAATATATAGGGCCTTAAATGTCATGTGAAGTTTAGACTTTATCCTGCAGGTAGTGGGGATCCATTTGGCAAATTTTCAAGCAGGGGAAGGATAGGTTTAGATAAATAATTCTGCTGGCAATTTGGAGCCTCAATAAAATGGGGGGAAAATGAAAACAGCTTAATAGGTGCTTGTGCTGGAAACCTAATTACATAAAGAGTATTCCAGGTGTCCAAGGCAGGGTTGATGAGAGAATCACCTAGGAAAGTTACGCTGAAAATTGTTGGGAAATGGAAGGATTCAAGAGACATTTGAAAGGTAGAATTGGTACTACTGAATGACCACTTGGACACAGGGGATGAAAATGAGGAAATATAGGACTATGATTAGATGGGGATGCCATCAACACAGGAAAAGGAGGAACAGATTTGAGAAGACACTATTCTGAGTATCACCACTCACTTTTATGATACTTCTAGCAGGTATGGAGCTAAAATGTATGATGTCCCATTGTAGCACTCACATTATATCTTGGCAGGTTGTTTGTACTTTATTGGATTTGCTGCATAATGCAGGATGCCAAAGTAATCATTACATTCTGGAAGTTAGGAGTCCTACTTGGTCTCTGATGAGGAAGGCATTAACTGTGATTTCTGTCACATGCTGGTATATACTGGTCTGGGAGAAATCTTTGATTTAATGAATAGAATTAAACATAATTATAGCCACCTTAAAATTCTGTATATCGCATATAGAGAATACCATTAACTCATTGTCTACTCTGCCTTCCTCTACTTTCATGATTAAGGGCAGAGGAATTAAAATTTTATAGTGAAATAAAATTGGATAGATATGATAAAGTAATGCGAGACTCACAATTTCAAAGTAAATATTTCTGTGTTCAAAGCAATTCACCAGAGGGCCACTTTCCCTGTACCTTCCCTGAAGAACTAAAACCTCTAGTCCACCTGATTTTTAAAGCAAAATTACCAAATGCCAGCAATGTAACTTGTTCTGTGTTAAAAACAAAACTAGACATAGGCCTTATCCTTGAGGACTAGCTCACTATCATTCCAATATTTTTTGGAAAGTGTGAAATTGCGATTTGCAGATGGTGACTTTGCCAAAATTGAAAGCTTAGTAGCTCACATACACTTGTGTGAGTACCTAACATCTTTATAATTCTGACAACACTAATGAGCTACAGGAAACACTGGCCAAATTCTGCTTGGTTTGGTTTCCATTCTTTTGCTAAATCCCTTATATCAGCACTGACCAATAAAAATATAAAGCAAGCCACATTTGTGATTTTAAATTTTCTAATAGCCATATTTTTTTAAAGTAAAAAGAAACATGTAAAATACATTTTAATAGACTTTTAAAAAAACTTTATTTTTAGAGCAGTTTTAGGTTCACAGCAAAATTAAGAGGAATGTACAGAGACTTCTCATATACCCCTTGCCCCCACACATGCATAGCCTACCCCATTATCAATATCCCCCACCAGAGTGGTACATGTTTTATAACTGATGAGCCTACATTGGAACACTGAAAGTCCACAGTTTACTTTAGGGTTCACTCTTGGCGTTGTGCATTCTATGAGTCTGGAGAACTTTATGACCTATAGTATCACACAGAGTAGTTTCACTGCCGTAAAAATCCTCTGTGCTCCACCGGTTCATCCCTCCCTCCACCCTAATCCCAGGCAACCACTGATCTTTTTACTGTCTCCAGAGTTTTGCCTTCTCCAGAATTTCATATGGGTGGAATCACACAGTGTGTACACCCTTCTCAGACTGGCTTCTTTATGAAATTAATTTTAATACTGTATTTTCTTTAACCAAAATTGTTTAATGTGATTAACATGTAATCAGTATTTAAATATTACTAATTAAATAGTTTACATTCTCTTTTCATACTGTCTTCTAATATACACCAGATATATATACCAGCTATATATCTATGTCTGGTGTATATTTACACCAAAATCTGGTAAATTTACACCAGATTTTGAAGACTTACAGCATATCTTAATTCAGACTAGCCAGATTTCAACTTGATCACCACATGTGACTAGTAACTACTGTATTAGACAGTGCAACCTTAGATACGAGTCACAACTGGAGACATCTTTCAAAGATTTAAGCTGCCTGTCCCTTAATTTAACAACGAATACAATGTCCTTTACACTGTTTGCCACTTATAGATGGAAGGCCACTCCAAGTCTAAGGGAGAAAGGTAATATGATGGAAATTACAAATATGCATTATAATATTTAATCTTTTTTCCTTCAGGCATCTATCGTGCCATTCAGTTTTCCATGCTTTGAGGAATGGAAAATGGTGATACTTTTCTGTCATGATGAGTAATGGATGAGATAATAGGGAAGAGTGGAGTTGCCATTATATTGAATTTATTCTCAATTACAGAAGTCACGTACTATTTTGGAGAGAGCACCAGTTTAAGAGGAGAATTTGAGCCTTTATTCTGGTAGACACTATATGGCCTGAGACAGATCAAGTCAATTTTTTGGATATTTTCTTATTCTCTAAAGTGAGATTGAACTAGTTCAGTAGCTTTTAAACCATACTCAGGGGAACGTAAGGGTTTATACGGGAAGAGTGAGAGTGAGGAAGGATTTAGGAGGAATTTTTCATGCACACACACACATACACACATACACACACACACTGGCAGATTCAACCACTGCTGGATCAAGTTTATTGGATATACATATTAATCTTCAGTGTAAGTTCCAGAGCTAATTAAAATTTTAAACATGATAGCTAGATAATTTGATCATATCTACTTTCCTTTTCAATGATAATATGAGGTATAATGTTCACATCTTCTGGCCCATTTCTAGAGGTCCTTTCATGTACTTTTTACTCAGACTTCCTTGTGACCAATCTTAACCCTTCCAAGTCACTGGTCAAGTTACCAAACTATTAGCCACTGCTAATTCCAGGCAAACTGAACAATGATATACATATTATTTCAATTTCTGCCCATTTTGAGGATTACCCCTTTTTTTTCTTTTTATTTTTTGTTTTATAGATTGAGATGGGGTCTCGCTGTTTTGACCAGGCTGGTCTCAAACTCCTGGCCTCAAGCAGTCTTCTTATCTTAGCCTCCCAAAGTGCTGGGATTACAGGCGTGAGCCACCGTGCCCGGCCAAGGCTCATCCTTTCCCCTGGTCTTTCTGGGTCTTGGAGTGAGCTGTAAATGCTAAAGCAACCCACTTCAAACCAAGAAAAAAGGATCTGTAAACCAAGATTTTAATTTTTTCCTCTCAAACTAATTGGACATAGTGAATACCCCATGAGACACACATAAGCTAGGGAGGGACAGCAGTGTGACAGACGTAAGCAGCAGGAGAATACAAGCAACGTGCTCACTAAACTCACTCATCCTCAGGACTATCCAGGCCTAGCGAGTTATGAGCCTGAATTAACACCTGGATCCTGATAGGCAATTATGACTGCAAAGTCACTTGGTGTCTCAGGCTTAGGTGTTCCACTGGGACCTAGTAGCAAGCCTCTAAAATCCAAAGAGGTCCACCAAAATAGTGCCTCTTCACATTGGTAAGGAGCTCAGGTACAACAGTTTATCTCTCACTTTAGAATTACAGCCAAACATATTCTGTAGACCACTGGACCCTTGAAAAATTCCCACTCAAGCTCTCATGTGTCTTTTTCAAGGTGTCTAAGGAATTTATTGCTTTCTACTCTTTTGTCCCCACCTGTATAGGATGAATAGTCTGATATCATGTGAGATGAGGAAATAAGAAGCTTTCTGCTGACTTCATTGTGACCCAGGGTCCAAAAGGTGATGTAATCCTGTGGCAAGAAGGTAAAGCTATATTCTTGTCTGTACCAGATGAAAGTGAACTGTTTCTGCTTCATCATTCACAACTGTCCTAATAAATGGCCACAAGTCCCTTTGTATTCCAGGAGGTAGGTTCAAGTAGGCACTTCCTCAAGGGCACTCAGATTTCCTTTAACTGTGTCTGAGAACTGATTCATATCTGGAAATTGGATACTATCTCTCTTTTCTAGACATGAAGGTTTTTTGTTTGTTTGCTTGTTTGCTATGCAAATCAAGTAGGACCTTAGTGACTTCTTATTTATTTCAGTCCTGGGGACTCCATGATCAGTTAGTCACCTCCCATGAATCCATAAGTCAGAGCATTCTGATTTTCACACTGACCCTACTACCTTTCAACTTAGCCCCATGCAAATGTGCTATCTAGACTATGTCGCTCTGGGATCCTGTCATCCCTCTGAAACTCAGTAAGCCAAATTCAACTGTAACCTCTTTTCAGCATCATCACTGGTCTACATGAAACGTTCTCTAAATCACGTTTCAAATATGCTGACCCTTCCCTCATAGATTTGTTTCTCAAGGCCTTTGTAAAGAGTGTTTTCTGGACGTTTTTATCATTTTTATTTTAATTAGAGACAGGGTCTTGATAGGTTGCCCAGGCTGGCCTGAAACTCCTGGGTGAAGTGATCCTCCCACTTCAGCCTCCCAAGTAGCTGGGACAGGTGTGAACCACTGCACTTGGCTAGATCTTTTTTTGGAAGACACAATTGAGGTGGGTGGGTGGGTCAGATATGACAAATCTAATCCAGCATTCCTGTCTCCTAAAATTTAAAAATTTGTTCCTTTACATTTTACCTAAGAGATTTGCATCTCAACTTTATTTTGTATGACTCACCCCTCAGTCTAAATTTCGATGAACATTTAGCAGAGCAAACAGAATTATTCCTAGCTTCTCAAACTAGAATAATCCAGAGTCTCTTGTAAGCCCTATTAGTAAATTCAACCCAATCTCAAATTGTGTCCTCTTCTTCATTCAACATTCTTAAAATCTATTCTAACTCACATCCCACAGATTAATTAGCAAAGTTCTTCCATTCCTTTGTTGCTTGAGACATAGCTTACTAAGCTTCACTTTGTAAACTGGCCTCTTGAAGCACACTAGAATTTTCTAGGGGGTTGGGGTGGGGGACACAGTCTTGCTCTATCGCCCAGGCTGGAGTACAGTGGTGTGATCTTGGCTCACCACAACCTCCACCTCCTGGGTTCAAGCAATTATCCCTGCCTCAGCCTTGCGAGTAGCTGGGATTACAGGCACCCGCCATCATCCCTGGCTAATTTTTGTATTTTTTAGTAGAGACAGGGTTTCGCCATATTGGCCAGGCTGGTCTCAAACTCCTGACCTCGGGTGATCCGCCCACCTCAGCCTCCCAAAGTGCTGGGATTACAGGTGTGAGCCACCGCACCCAGCAAATTTGACTCATTGCAGATCTGGAGATAGTGCAGAGTAACAGTAGGATATAAGAGAACCTCTTATAAGGTAACTCCCTCAAACTAGGGAATTTCAGCCTCTTCAAACAAAGGAGAAATAGCTTTACACGTAAAAGCTTCAGCTGCAAAGAAGGCTGAGTTTGGGGGCAAGGAGTCTCTGCATTCTTCAAATTCTCCCCTATACAGCATTTTAACTTTAAAGATCTTACTCTTTCGGAATCAGCACTTTAACACATGCTCTTCTAAGACCCCAGGTAAGGAGGTGAATTTGACTGATTGCAAATCAGCAATCGACAAGAACAAATATTGGTTTATAGCTATCTCCATCCTGGGGCTATAAGTTTCTTTTAACAAATTCACACTTGGGTTTCAGTTCATGTTTTAAGATGAGAATTTAGAGATTTTCATTTGTTAATGTCTTCAAATGAAACAGCTAGCCTTAGCACCCAGCTCTTGAATTCCTCATTTCCTTCATACTGTTCTGTGAAAACAGCAATTCTGTCCCCCACGGTCTTGTCTTTAATACCCAACTCAATCCTAATCCTCACAGGCATTAATTTCATTAGCTATTTTACTACTACAGGCTGTGGGTTTCCAGAGTCTCATCTTTGAATATTAATTGGTTTTTATTATCTTCAAACACAATGAGTCTGCATACCCAGATTCTCCTGATTTCCCTGAAAGTCTGCTGTTTGTAACTGAATCCCCATTACCAGTTTCTGTACAAGTCAGAATTCCTATTTGCAAGCATTAGTAACCAATTTTAGGTAGATTAAGTATAATGGAATTTATTGAAAGAGTAACAGTATCTATATACAAAATTCTATGGGAAAGTTAAAAATCAGTCTCAGGAATCAGACAGGAGCCAAAGGAGGCTGGCAGCAGATGAACCAGCCAAGGACCACTGTAGGAACAGTCTGATTAGAATGCTGCCAGAACTTGGTGCAGAACTGTTATAGGAAGAGCCTAAATAGAAACTAAGGCAGTGCCACCACCAGACATTCTCTTCTCCTGAATTACTGACATCATCACTGTCTTGGTGGATAGCTTGATGGTCTCTGCATCTTTGCATCACTCCTTCTGGATTCAGTGTGGGAATCCCACTGGACAAACCCGTTATGTGCTGATGTCCTTGCTGTCTAGAAGAGGAAGATATGCCTTTTTTCAGTTTCTATAACAGGAAAAGTGTTGAGATGCCAAATACCAAAGCACACAAACACCAGACAAACACACACATCCAGGACACCATCCTTGGGTTTGTTTCTGGACTCGCTGTTTTCTTAGTTTGTTTGTTCATTTTGCTGTCATTATGCTACTGTTTTAATTTCAGTTGTTTTATCTTTAAAAAAATTCTGGCAGTTCAAATCCTCCTTCCTCTCAAATGGTTGTCTTTCTTTCTTAACTCTTTTCAGTTTAATTTTTCTCAATGAATTTCAGAACTCTTCTGTAAAGTTTCAAAAAATATTCCATTGGCATTTCCATTGGAATTGTATTATATTTATGAATATATTTGGGGAATAATTTTAAATTTTTTAAATGCCAAGTTTTCTTATCCAAGAACATGGTATATCTCTATTTAAGCCTTGGCAATTTTATAGTTGTCTTCACATAGATTTGACATACTTATTAAGTTTATGTTTTTGTTATTCTGGGAATTACAATTTTTTCCACTTTGTTTTCTTTAAAAGAGTTTCAAAGCCCCCCTTTTGGACCACAGAAAATCTTAACATAACGTAACTATGCAAATAGCTCTATGATTCTAATTTCTCTTTTATTTTATTTATTTATTTATTTATTTATTTTTGACGGAGTCTCACTCTGTCGCCCAGGCTCCAGTGCAGTGGCACGATCTCGGCTCACTGCAAGCTCTGCCTCCCAGGTTCACCCCATTCTCCTGCCTCAGCCTCCCGAGTAGCTGGGACTACAGACGCCCGCCACCATGCCCGGCTAATTTTTTTGTATTTTTTAGTAGAGACGGGGTTTCACCATGTTAGCCAGGATGGTCTCGATCGCCTAGCCTCGTGATCCGCCCACCTTGGCCTCCCAAAGTGCCGGGATTACAAGTGTGAGCCACCACTCCTGGCCCTAATTTCTCTTTTAATCATTGAACTACATTCTTCCTATGTTTATCCAGCTTTCTGTACCAAATTAAATCTCATACTTTGTAGTGTAAATTTGAGTTTGAAAGTTAAAGAATGTTTTCCAGGGGACTAAAACAGGAAAAAAAACTGTCAACAGAATTGAATAAATTGGAAGATGGGAGGCCGCTGCACTAGTACTACAGTGCCCCCTAGTGGACACAAGGAAGCATGGGCATGTTTATACCAAGAATGACCCCAGTCTCTTTCTTCCACAGGCAATTAGAATCTGGAGGTGCCTCAGTGGTCAACTAGGTCAACACCTCTGGCTTCCAAAAAGGGAAACTTAGAAACAAAATGAAGAAATGACTGGCCCAAGTTCACAATGTCAACCCAAGGCTAAAATCCAAGATTCCTAACTCTCATTATTCTTCCTTTTTGCTACCCTTGATTTCTTTTTTCTTCCTTCTTTTTCAAAATATATTGTGCTCTTATTATAAAGCAAGATTCTAGGAATACAGATATAAATAAGATTTAGTCGTTGCCTTCAAATCTAGTTTTACTTCAAGCCTAATTTTTTTAGCCATTTTCAGGGAATGAATTTGTTGGGAAATGACCAAACAACTATGCAGGGGAAGGTTCTCAATCATCCACAAATTGACTCACAATATGATTAATTAATTATGAGTTTTAACTGGAAAGTACAATCATAAATGTGAAAATTGCCCTTGATCAGATTCAGACCATTTCATAAGGAGGTAAGGCATACTTTCAAATGGCCTGTATTAACCTTTATCTTATTTCTCCTTTGCAGATTCAAAACTGTGAGCTATCTTGCAAAAAATACAAGAAGATATGGAAAGTTTTCATGAGTGCCTACCACCTAATCCCAAACACTGTCATTCATATGCACGTCATTGAGCAAATCTTTATTGAGGATCTATATGCCAGGTATGTGCTAAGCGCTGGGCTTAGTGTGGCAAAGAGAACAGATATGACCTTGAGGTTTCTGCTCTTACAAAGCTTGCAGTCTCCTATTTGTGTATGTGTAATTCTCTAAAGCTCAGGAAAGCTGTTTACCTCATTTTGCTTTGGCATCATATTTTTAGGCTATAGAAATCAGAGAGTATGCAAACATTTTCTAAAATTACTCTGCCCCACAAAAAGGGAAACACAAATGACAATTTGGGGCCAGATAGAACTGGATTTGAATTCCAAGCCTGCCCTTTACAAGCTATTAAACAAACGAATTCTCTGAGCCCCTGTTGCTTTCATGAAGTGGAAATAATACGTATCCCTTGTAAGGGATCATATCCTTATTAATACCTAAATAGAGACATTACTTTTTGAGTCAAAAATATGAATTCTATGGTCCATCTCCTAAAATGCAGAAAAATTATCAAAAGAGAAGCATTATTAATATTGTTCACTTAGTTTCATCAAGAATATCACTTTCCAGCATTAATACAGACAAATATTCTTTGCCATTGACTTTTTCCTTTTTTAAAATAAGGTGAGATGCTCTAACAATGGATGCCACTACAACAGAGTTTCTGTAAGGCTGTTAGTTTCTTTTTCCATGGATAGTTTCCATGGCCTTGCTCCACATAAACTAAGCCCTATTATTTCAATTATGATGACTAAATCTAGTATGACCATTATTTGTCTGTATAAGGGAACTTGTAGTAATCTGTGTATAAACTTATCACTCCATCTATTTAATGATTTGACTAAGTCAAGGATCATATTTTATTTCCCTCTGTTCTCCCCTCCCAGTGGTACCTCACACAGAATTAGAGCACACTAAATGTGTGCTGAGTAAAAAGACTATCTTTCTATGTGCTTTTTGACATGTAAGCTGAGAGAGAAAATTTGGCATATGTTGTAGGTAAACTTACTTTGTTTTACCTGGGAGTAGCAAGTATCAAACAGATCCTACTCCTGTTACAATCCTGCTAGAGGAAAAAAAGTAGTTAAATTCCCCAATCTCTACTCAAACCAAAACAAAACTTCAAAAATATTGAGACACAGAGAGAAGGAATAGGATGGGGTCAGGGAGGACTGGTGTTTGTGCATGGTGTGCATGCAGCAGGCTAACGTCCTTTCCCTGTTGTAATAGCTCCGAATGTAAGTGCCACACAACACCAGGTCTATGAAAAGCCCAGGGTTTAAAGGTCAAACAAGTTTGGGAAAGCTTGCCCAGCATTTTCCTCTCTTGCAAGTTGGCGGTGCATACTGGTAAATTAAAGCCTATAAAAACTGCTTAACGTTGTTTTACCTTGCAGTCCCCAAATTCATTTGACCAACATTTCACCTATAAACATCCCGCAGATCTAGTAGATTCTGTGGAAGGCACAGACTTCAGGGAACTGCTCCACTGTGTTGAAAGGACTTCTTTCTCTTGTTCATTCACACACAAAAAGCTGCCATTTTATTTCCAAATCCTACAGGTCTGGGAATGTGCGCATTTCCAGCAATGTTTTAACTATAGAAAAGTGAGACCACTTCCTGACAATTTAGCGGTCCCAGAAAGTTTATACAATTGAATTTTAGGTATGTAAGAAGTCAGTTCGAATCCAGGAAATGGCTTCCCAGCAATGCCTGGAATGTCCTCATAAAAACTGAGACACGGATATCCAAGTCCTGTTTTGGATCTTGGAGGGACAGAGAGAAAGAAGAGAAAAACATAAAATTATAGTCCCAAATCTCAAGATGTTTCTTCCAGTTTTCTACAAATAAATATCCACTTTCTCTGAACTCCATCTTGGGGCTTTATTTTTGCATGTTTCTAATTCTCCTCTCTAGATGGCAGCACAGATGAAAAAATGCCAGAAACAGCAGGCCGGATTTAGCAGCAGCAAACTGCCATCAACAGCCCTCCCCCAACTTACCCTTCGTTTTGTTTTGTTTTTTTTTAAGAAACAGAATCTAAGACACGGTGGCTGACACTTTTTCCCAAATAGATTTAATCAGTTACATGAGAATACAAAGAATGACTAACGACACACTGATATTAGTGAACAAGGGAACTGACTCTTAACAGCGTCTCTTACATGTTACTTGTGTTTTCTGTATCTTAAAGATAATGTAGGCATTGTTCCTAAGTCATGCAGAAGGGTCGTGTAAGCATGGTCATTTGCATCATTACCCTGCACATCTGATACAGCCAAACTCCACACCACCTGGTTTGCTATAAGTGTTGGATTCATTTAAGATCCGTAACAATGCTATTTACTGACCTTCTTGTCAACTAATGCTGTGACGCTGCTGTAAAATGATCTCTATGTCACCAGATGCTGCCCTGAAACTTAGGAAGTCAGCATGAAGGTAACACTTCATTAGAAGTATGCAATTTATGGGAGAATTAATAATGCAAGAGAAAAGGAGTAGAACAGACATAAAGAGAAGACCTTTGAGGTTTACATCAAACCCCATCAAAAGATCTTTTTTAAAAAAAAAAAACCTTACCCTTCAGGAGTTCATTGAATCTCATCATTAATAAGATGGGGTCTACCAGCAAGATGTTCTTAACAAAATCTGCTGACAGGGAAAACATAAGAAAGCTGGCCTCTTATGTATGACATTTCAAGGGCTCAAGAGTGTTCTAAAGAAAACTAAATTGTTCATGTGTAGTGAACTGGACAGAAGCTAAAAGGTGACCTGTGTCTTTTAAGCAGCAACAGCAAAAGATCGCCATGGGACTGGGTGCGGTGGCTCACCCCTTTAATCCCAGCACTTTGGAAGGCCGAGGTGGGCGGATCATTTGAGGTGAGGAGTTCAAGACCAGCTTAGCCAACATGGTGAAACCCTGTCTCTACTAAAAATACAAAAAATTAGCGAGACGTGGTGGTGTGCTCCTGTAATCCTAGCTACTCGGGGAGGCTGAGGCACAAGAATCACTTGAACCCTGGAGGCCGAGGTTGCAGTGAGCCAAGATGGCACCACTGCTCTTCAGGAAAAAAAAAAAAGAAAGAAAGAAAGAAATCACCATGGGAATAAAAACAAATATAGTACATAAATAAACCAACCTGAGGCCAAAACAAAAAACTAGGTGAATCTTTCATATTTAAGAAAAAAATCAATATTTGATGTGTCAGAGAACTTTTAAATTCTGTCTCTATCCTTTTTTTTTTTTTTTCTTTTTTGAGATGGAATCTTGCTCTGTCACCCAGGCTGGAGTGCAATGGTGTGATCTTGGCTCACTGCAACCTCCACCTCCTGGGTTCAAGCAATTCTCCTGCCTCAGCCTCCTGAGAAGCTGGGATTACAGGCACGTACTACCACACCCGGCTAATTTTTGTATTTTCAGTAGAGACGGGGTTTCACCATGTTGGTCAGACTGGTCTCAAACTCCTGACCTCATGATCTGCCCGCCTTGGCTTCCCAAAGTGCTGAGATTACAGGCGTGAGCCACTGCACCTGGCTCCTTTTTTTTTTTTTTTTTTTTTTAATGAAAGCAGTTTTTCCACAAGATTACTCTAAACACCACATCTTTCCTTAAATGAATACCTTTGATAATTAGTGTGGGTTGAAATTAGTTAATACTATAATGGGTCAGGCTATCTGCCTTTGCCAACACAACTCCTAGTGCTCTAAGGATACTGAATACTTTTTCCTGGACTCTAAGTTTAGAGACAAAATCAAGCCCTAAAATGAACAGGCAGAGAGGTACTGAGACAGTATGGCATATGAGAGAGTGAAGGAGCTGGGACAGGCCTGCATTCATCTCAAAGACTACGCCAGTCCAGTGCTGCAGACCAGCAACCCTCAGCTCTGAACCTATCCCTGGAATCAATACTCAGCCCACTCCTTCCAGAGACTCAGGAGCCTTGGAAGTATGACACACCCAGGACAAAGCTGAAGGCTAAGAGACCTAAATGTTCTTCCATTCCCACTAATTCTGCATCTGTGCAGCCTACTAAACCCACCATCCCTCAGACCCTCAGTATCCTTAATGTGTATCCAAGAGGGGAGGTTCTTTCAATGAGTTATCCTCTTAATGAACTCTCATCCTCATACTAGACTCGGTTTCCCATTCCACCCTGTGATATTGTGACAAGAAATAAATATTTAGGGCCGAGCACAGTGGCTCATGCCTATAATTCCAGCACTTTGGGAGGCCAAGGCAGGTGGATCACAAGGTCAGGAGTTCAAGACCAGCCTGGCCAACGTGGCGAAACCCTGTCTCTACTAAAAATACAAAAATTAGCTGGGCGTGGTGCCAGGAGCCTGTAATCCCGGCTACTCCAGAGGCTGAGGTAGGAGAATCACTTGAACCCAGGGGCGGAGGTTGCAGTGAGCTGAGATTGCGCCACTGCATTCCAGCCTGGGTAACAGAGTGACTCAAAAAAAAAAAAAAAAGGAAAAGAAATATATATTTGGTCTCTTCCCCTGGTTCCTGGCACACAGCTCTTAAAACCCTTGGACTCCCCAGAGTGATAAGAGTGTCTTTGGTATGCTAATAAGACATTGGTGGCTGGGGAGCCCTAGATAGCTTCAAGAGGGGGGCTGGTCACCAGAAAGACCAAGGCATGATTAGAGGGATGGGACTTTCAGCCTTACCCTCCAACTTCTAGGGAGGGTAGAGGGGCTCAAAGTAGAGTTGATTACCAATGGCCAATGATGTAATTAATCATGCCTACCTAATAAAGCTTCTGTAAAAACCCGAAGGACAGAGTTCTGAGAGCTTCCAGGTTGCTGAACATGTAGAGGTACTTGGAGGGTGGAATGTCTATGAAGGGCAGGGCAGCTTCATGCCTCTCCCCCCATCCCTCGCCCTATGCATCTCTTCCATCTGGCTATTCATCTCTATCCTTTGTAACATCCTGTATTAGTCCCTTCTCGCTGCTGGGTGATTTATAATTTAAAAAAAAAAAAAAAAAGGTTTAATCAACTCACAGTTCAGCAGGCTGTTCAGGAAACATAGCAGCTTCTGCTTTTGAAGAGGCCTCAGGAAACTTACAATTATGGTGGAAGGACAAGAAACACACACATCTTACATAGCCAGAGCAGAAGAGAGAGTGGGGAGATGCTTTTAAACAATCAGATCTTGAAAGCACTCACTGTCACAAGAGCAGCACCAGGGAGGAAATCCACCCCATGGTCCAGTCACCTCCCACCAGGCCCCATCTCCAACACTGAGGATTACAATTCAATGCGAGATTTGGGTGGGGACACAGATCCAAACCACATCACATGCTTTGTGATGAATGTAAGTAGTGATTGCCTGAGTTCTGTGAGCTGCTCTAACAAACTAATTGAACCCGAGAAGTGGAATCCTCATAGGAACCCCTAATTTATAACCAGTCAGTCAGAAGTATAGGTAACAATACTGAAACATTGGAATTGGCATCTGAAGTGGAAGCAATCTTGGGAGACTGAGCCTTCTGCCTGTGGGATCTAATGCTATCTCCAGGTAGATAGTGATTATAGGATAATTGCGTTAAATTATAGGATAATTGTGTCCACTGAAGAACTGGTTGTAGGTGGAGGAAAACCTCCACACATTTTGGTGACCAGAAGTACTGTATTTGTTGAGTATGTGAGATTAGGAAAATTTTTTTTCTTATATCTCTTACATTCCCTTTCCTCTGAAACTTTTCCTCTATGACCTTGGGAATCTCATTCCATCATCAGCTAACTCCCTGATACACCCAGCCTCTTCAATGACCTTTTTAAATTATTATTATTATACTTTAAGTTCTAGGGTATGTGTGCACAACACGCAGGTTTGTTATATATGTATACATGTGCCACTTTGGTGTGCTGCACCCATTAACTCATCATTTACAGTAGGTATTTCTCCTAATGTTATCCTTCCCCCTCTTTAGCTATCTAGGTATTTCCATGAAACATACCTGACTTCTCAGTTTCTTGATTCCATTTCCAATTACCTTCTCCACTGTGCTTCAGTCACTCAATCCCATGGCCACCCCTAGGTCATGTCATCAAGAAACCACAGCACCTCTGAACCCATGACTTTTGAGTCCTCCAGTTCTTTTCATTTGGTTATTTTCACCATGTTTATTTTCCAAACTTATTAAGATCTGCAGTCTTTCTGCTTTCTCCTTTCCCCTTATCTATAATCTGCTTACTGTCCCCTATTCCTTCTCTACTGAGGAAGGACTCCATGGCTGATAACACTGGCCTCTGTTCTCAACTCCATTACTTCATTATTCTTCTGTTTTATCTGCCTGACAAATTTTAGAGTGTGTACCCTGAATCCAGCTGTCTGTCTTGGCCATTCCTTTACCTAAGCTGTTGGGCACTGGAGGAAAAAAATCACCCTGTCACACAGATTGGGGCTACCTTAAATTTATGCTCAACAACCTCAGGTGGGACCTCACTGCTGCCTGCAGTCCTACTCTATTCTCCGGCCTGCTCATTTTCTCAGTCTCCAGAGGGGCTATTTCAAGGATTCGCCTCTTTCTGCACCTCCACGTGTTGGCCTCTCTACCTTCTCATTCTCACTTGGTGATTTTTTTCCCCCACATATCAGAGTTGGTTGGGGGTAGATGTTATGAGATGTGAGCAGTCTCAGTTTTCCATAACAACCTATACACTTTTTTGTGTGTGTGTGAGACAGGGTCTCACTCTGTCGCCCAGGCTGGAGTGCAGTGGCATGATCATGGCTAACTGCAGCCTCAACCTCCCGGGTTCAGGTGATCCTCCCACCTCAGCCTCCTGAGTAGCTGGGACTACAGGCCCATGCCACCACGCCTGGCAAACTTTTTGTAGAGATGGGGTTTCCCATGTTGTCCAGGCTGGTCTCAAACTCCTGGGCTCAAGCAATCCACCCGCCTCGGCCTCCTGAAGTGCTGGCATTACAGGCATGAGCCTACAACCTTTAAACTTACTTGCATCTTTACACATTTTTTTGACCTTGCCTCTTATTATAACAGAAAAACTCCCCCTGCCTCCATCCAAGGCCAATCTCTTGGCCTGATGCTCTGGGTTCCATCTCTCTCTGACTTCTCATTGACCTTACTCTCTCAGTTATTCCTTCATACTCCTACCTTTGTATTCAACCTCTTCCTCTCCACTGGCTCTTCCCTTCTCAGACTAAAAAAGCCACATCCTCTTCCATCTACTGTCCTCTCTTCTCTTGCCAGCTAAACTTCTTGGAAAAATTGTCCACTCACTGTTTTAACTTCCTCACCTCCCACTCACTCTCCAAAATTCCTCTCTCCAAAATAACCCATGATCTCCGTGTAGCTAAATTCAAGGGGCACTTTTCAGTTCTCTCCTTATTTGACCTGATGACAGCATTTAACATATCCTCCTTTTTGATACTTTCTCTTTCCTGAGTATCTATGGCACCATCTACCTGCTCCCAGATAGCTCTCTCCATCTCCAACCCTTCTCTTGAGCTTCAGACCCTATAAGTTCCACAGGCATCTTAAACTCAAACTGAACTCATTTTCTCTTCAAATCTGTGTATCTCCTCCTGAGTTCCCCCTGGAGGTAGCAAGCACTGCCGTGGACTCATTGCTGCAGCTAGTCATTTGTGTATCATTCCTTACTGCTCTCTTCATGATACCTCATGTCCAATTGCATCACCAAGGGCTCTTGATCCTGCCACCTGAATACCTTTCCTACCTTTTTTCTTGTCTCCTTCCCCTCTACTCTCATCAGTCTCACCTAAACCCCAGTTTCCAGTCTTCCTCTCAAACCATTCACCATGCAGTAGCCATGTGAGTGTAATGAGCAAGGAGTCTCACAGATGCAAGAGTCCACAAACCCTCATGTGTGCAGTCATGGAATGTTTTTTCCTGGAGTTCGATTTTAGAATCTGAACCTCCAACCTTCCTTCTGGTGGACAACTTCATCTAGATTATCTTAAATGAATTCAGTGATTTGTCAACTGAGATTCCATAACTACTTCAGTTCAGAATTCAGTTTCAAACCTTCCTTCCCCTGTTCTTGCATCTTACTCTTGGGGCTTCTGGGGCTGACCAGCCAAGGGAAGTGAGGAAGAAGATGGAGGTCCATGTGTGAGTAGCAGGTGGGTCTGGGGGAGCTGTCCATCTAGTCATTTCTGGAGTGACTCTAAAGCTAGCCTGAGCCGCTAATGCCATTGTTGCCTATTGTCTCAGCATAGGCAGGCCCCAGTGTGCTGTCTAGGGTACCGGATCCTGCTGGCTTTGAAGGGTGGGGATGGGCTGTCTGGGTGGTCCTGCAGGTCCAGTGTAGCTTCATCTCACAAAGGAGCAGTCACGTCCCCCATAATGCCGGAAGCAATCCAGGAACATTCCTTCCTTTTGCCCTCCACATCAGCTTTCATGTCAGATCATTTCTTCTCCCCTCACAGCATAGAGGTGAAAAACCAATTCACATTTACACATTTGTATGAGTTGGTTTCATTTTAATTGTTTCATCTCTGAGTTAAAGTGTGGAGCCCTTTGTATTTAAATTGTGCAATGTAGAGTCTGGATTTCTCTCAGCAGCAGACGATCTCCACAATCATTAATTTGCTTTCCACTTTCCTGGGAGAAGAGTCAGGTGGGTTGTGTGCGTGTTTGTCTATGTATGTGTATGTTGGGGGGCGGGGGCAAGGAGCAGATGAGCAGCCCAGAGCCCAAGTAGAGAAATGAGTGGAGAGAATACATTCCATTAATACTTCTCATATTATCCTGTCATGTGTTCTTTCCAAATCATAAATCTGAACAGGTTTTTCACCTGCTTAAAGCCATCTGTAGCTTCCCCATTGCCTTTAGGATGAAGTCTAAACTTGTCAACTTGATTTACAAGTTAAGATCTGTTTACAGATGACCTTTCCCACCTCATTTGCCACAATTTCCTTTCTTTCAGTTCCGTGGGTTCACCATACTCTGTTGCCTCTGGACTTTCTCACATTCCTAGAAGATTCTCTTCAACTTTTCCCTACACCTGGCTAATTCCTGCACATCCTCTGATCTCCGGTGAAACATCATCTCTTCCTAAGTCCTCCTTGACCTCTCTCCTACCTCTGACTTTGATTTGTCCCCACTATGTGCACCCATAACGTTCTCATATCATAGCACTTATCATATTCTAACTTTTTTGTTTGTTTTTCCACTTGACTATTAATGCTCTTAAGACAAGAATATCTGTCTCGATCAGTGTTCATTCTCCAGCACTAGCATGTGTCTGACACCTGATAGGTACTCAATAAATATTGTTAAATAACAAGTGAATGAATGACTGAAGAAAAATTGAATGTGCAAGCCAGGTGCTGGCTTCATGTGCACTGTCTTATAGCAGGACTTAGTACTTTATTGTGTTTCCCCAAAAGCAAATCAACTCCACAGAGCAGAGGTGAGCAATGTGGATTTGACCAACAATTTCATGAGGAGACCTAAAAGAAGCTTTAAATGGCAGACATTTCTATTCACCCCTCAGTGTTCCTCTTTGGTTTCCAGATATTGGGTCTTCCTCTCTTTTGACCCTCCCTTCCTCCCACTCTCTCACCCCCAACTAGCCTCTACTTCCCTTTTCTAGGCAATATCACTCTGAGAGGACTATAGAGGATGAACTGGAGAAAGATGAAGCTAGTATCAGGGAGTTCCATTTAATAGACAATTGAACAAGGCCAGGCAGAGATGATGAAGGCCTGAGTTAAGAAAATGACAAAATGACCTGAATCCCAGGACTTTGGAGGCCCAAGTGGGAGGATTGTTTGAAGCCAGGAGTTCAAGACCAGTTTGGGCAACATAGTGAGACCCTGTCTCTACAAAATAGAAATTTTTAAAAAAGGAAAAGAAAATGACAAAATGAAGAGGAGGGGGTGGGTTTAGGAGATGTTTGGGAGGGAAGATCGATAGGATGTGAGAATCGATTGGATTAGAGTAGAAGAGAAAGAGGAATATAGGGCATGGTCAAGATTTGGTGAATGCAAAAGGAGAAATAAAGAAAAGAAGAGGAGAAAAAAAGGGTAGGGGTTGAGAGTTTCATAGGATTAGAGTTATTACCAAGGGAAGTATGAAAGAGAATTAAGCAGAGAAAGACCAGTATAAGGATTATAATCACCTGAGAGTCTAACAGGTTAGACACCAAAATTGGTATGGGCATTAGTATTTAAATTGTGTAATGTGGAGCCTGGGTCCCTCTCAGTGTCAGTCAATCTCCACAATCATTAATTTGCTTTCCACTCTACTGACAAAAGAGCCAGGTGGGGTGTGTGCGTGTTTGTCTAGGTATGTGCGTGTTGATGGGAGTAAAGGGGCAGGTTGACAGCCCAGAGCTCAAGTAGAAGAGAAATAATTGTGTGTGATTTTCTTTAAAAACTTGGGCTGCCAATGGTAAGAGCTGAGAAAATGGGTGGTAGGTTGACCCAAGATTTAGGATTTCTGAGACGATGGGGCAGAAGGATCAAGGGGAGAAATGATGAATGATTTTGTGAAAAGAATGTTCAAAGTGATGGACAATGGCATCTAGGCTCATCAGGGACAGAAATGAGCCAGGATGGGGCTGACAGACTGGGGGTGGGTGGGGATAAAAGAGCAGGGGCCATGCATGGTGCAATGTTTACAGGAAATAGGAGTCCATAGGATGCAGGACCCAAGAGGAAAACAAACTGTGGAAAGGAGAAGTTACTCTTCCTTCTCTGAAATGAAACAGAAAAAGAGATATAATCTTTAAGTATTTCTCAGTTGAGAAAAAGCAATGAGAGGACACCCACATTGGAGAATCTTGATTTCTTCTATTAAGCAAAAGGAGAAAGTTGCATGCAGAGGTGGGACTCGGGCTTGAGGGAAACAGGAAGGATTTAGAAAAGGAAAAGTGAGGACTATGGAAGGAAGGAAATTTTGAAAAATCAGAGAATTACCTGGGAGTAGTAAAGGCTCAGCTGGGACCAGTCAGCTGATATTGGCTTGGGTCAGATTTTTACATTTTTAATTTAATTTTCAGCAATATCTTTTGCTTGGGAGCAGAAACAGAAAGTACATGGTGGATTTCACTGAGGGATAGAGATTTGGAAGACAGGAATGGATGAAGAACCAAGTGCATGAGGGCACCTATCAGGATTATTGCTGAAATCCTTATGGAGGTTACTGGCTGAGAGGAAGGCAAGCGAGTGAGGACTGATGGGCCCTTGGCACTGTGAGAACAGTGGAGGAGGAGGGAGCAGGGGTCATAAGGAGGAGCACAAACAAAGTTCAGAATAACACCAGAATCTTCCAAATACTTTCCCCATAGGGTGAAAAGGTAAATGCCCCTTTAAATCATTAACTAAACTGGCACTCAGATCTGGGCAGGCTCTCCCAGATTGGGCTGTTCTGTTTTGCCAGGAATTGATAAACTTCTGTGACCCCTCCAGGGTAAGTAAGCATGATCCATCTTCCCTGACTGGACAAGTTTGATCTGGCCTCCTTCCTCCTGCTGAAGCAGGCCTGAGGTGTGTGCCAGGATTCCATGTCTTATGCTAATACTCACATTCCACATACCAGCTCCTGCTGGTACTGCCTTTAGGCTTTTAGAAGGCCCTGCTTTGACCCTCCGTGGCTGTACCCCTCACTACAGGGTGAGGAGACTGTGTCACCTAGGGGATGTGTCCCCTCAGAACCACATTACCACATTGCTCCCTTCTGGACCACACTCTGGATAACTTGGACCACCTCAGAATTCCTTGCTCAAATGCCCCAAGCCCACTTCCAGAGCCTGCCTAGACTTCTTTTCCAGACCCATCCTCCCAAGAGCAAACCATGCCACTAGTGTATATGGTCAGCCTGAGAGGTAGCCAAGGGTAGCCTATTTGAAGAGGCATGCACAGGGTATGGATGTGTCAACTGGGGCATCTACATGCATGCATGAGAGGGCCTTCTCATTCAGAGTCAAGGATGGGAAGAGAGGGGGAATGTTTCAGGTTGGAGTCCAGCTCTCTCCGTGCCTCTCCATCCTGGTGCAGAACTCCAAGGAGTCCAAGCGTTGCACATTCAAACCTGACCTTCAGGTCTTTTGGAAGATAGAGTTATCAAGGTAGGAAAATAGAACATATTTTATTTAACAGTTTGACTTATAACTTTTATATCATTAGACACATGGAATATGGGCCTCCATTTGTACTCTTGCCCTTGGCCCCACAAATGTTAGGGAGAGGCCTGGCTCCTACAAGGTACTATTTACCTGTTGTGAAGAATAGCCCTTCAAAAGTGTTATTCTAAGTCTGTTTGACATAATAGGTCCAAACCGTATTAGAAGATGGTAAAAAACAACAATCCATTAAAAATCCTCTTTGGATTTCCAATTTTTGATATCACTGCATGTCATTTGAGACAGTAAGTTTTCCTGTTTTATTAATGTTTATATTTAAGCTGAATTTTCTAAAAGAATTGTGAATGTTTTTATTCTATTGTGACATTTAAGGTACGCAGCTGAACCTTGAGTATAAGCCCCATCGGCTAAGTACACATCAAACATGTCTACAGTACATCCCTTTAGAGCTTAACAGTTATTCATCACTTTTTCAGAAGTTCCAACGTTCCAGATGGTTACTGATGCATTCAGTCTGACCACTGCTAGATTTGAGACTTGTCCCACAAATCTGCACACGGTATCTTCATTTCTTCATTAACAGATCTTTTTTTTTTTTTTTTGGAGACATGGTGGTTCTCACTAAGTTGCCCAGGCTGGTCTTGAACTTCTGGCCTCAAGTGATCCTCCCAACTCAGCCTCCCAAAGTATTGGAATTACAGGTGTGAGCCACCACACCCAGCCTAGATCTCAATTAAGGGAGTAGAATCAGGTGACACTGAAAATGTTTGGTCATAAACCACAGTGAAGGGAAGGGGAGGCAGCTGTTAGATCATCTGACTTGTCCCACAGTCCTCATCCATTTGCATCTTGGCAAGCCTTCTGCTACATCTGAATCTCAAAATGGGGGATAACCTCTTGGGAGAGTCTATGCTAGTGCCCTTCTAGTAGCAGTTTACAATCTGCCAACAAATCTTGAAGCCTTATTTGGTTGATATCGATTTGAGAGGTGGGAGGTTCAGTTTCCAAAGAGTCAGGAAAGAGCATTCATCTAGGCTTGAGAAGCCTCCATTTCCTGACTCAAGAGTTCTGATTAGGTTATTGGTTGAGTGACACAAGGCAATCATCTCACTTTTGTGTTCCTGAGCTTCTCCTTTTATAGAATGTGGGCAGGAGTGTGGAGAGGGAGAATTTATTTCATTTCCTGTTTCCAAACTTACTAAACTGTGGAACCTTTTTCTTTTGCAGCATTAGGCAAAACTAATGTTCTAAGGAACACTCTTTAGGAAAGGTCAGCCAGCTCAGTGGTTCTCAACAGGCATGTGGTACACATTTAGTAATGTCTGGAGATGTTTTTGGTTGTTACAACTGGGGATCCAGGGATGCTGCTAAATATCCTGCAATGCCTAGGACAGCCCTCCACAACAGAGAATTATCCAACTCAAAATGCCAGTCATTCTAAGGGGTTGAAAAACTCTGGACTAGATGAACTATCTCAATTCTCTTTCAAACTAACATTTAAATGTGGTGTTTCTTGTTTGTTAAACACACAAAGTTTTATTTCTCTTTTACACAAAGTCAGCTCTGGGTCTGGATGAATCCGTGGACAGTTTTCTTCCATGTGTTGGCTCCATATTTCAGCTGCTTTGATTTTTTTGACATCTTCTTATCAATATGTGCTTCTATGATTTCCTTAGCAGAGAAAGAGAAATCAGAGAGAATCATGCGCTGGATCTTAAATGCTTCTACATGGATGTAATAAATGTCTCTTCTCATTTTTAATAAGAAGTTTATTAAAATATATCCATATATCATAAAATTTACTCATTTAAAGCATAAAATTCGACTGGGTGTGGTGACTCACACCTGTAATCCCAGCACTTTGGGAGGTTGAGGAGGGGTGGATCTCTTGAGCCCAGGAGTTCGAGACCAGACTGGGCAACATGACAAAACCCCATCTCTACAAAAAATACAAAAATTAGCCGGGTGTGGTGGCATGTAGCTGTAATCCCAGTTACTTGGGAGGCTGAGGTGGGAGTATTGCTTGAGTTTTGAAGGCAGAGGTTGCAGTGAGCCAAGATTGTGCCACTGCACTCCAGCCTGGGTGACAGAGTGAGACACTGTCTCAAAAAATTTTTTTCAGCTAAAATAAAGTATAAAACTCTGTAGTTTTTAGTGTATCCACAAAATGTGTGCAATCATCTCTACACTCAATTTTAGAACATTTGAATCACCCCCAGAAGAAACCCTGTACCTATTAGCAGCCATTCCCCATTTTCCCTCAACACTTCCACCTCAGCCCTAGGCAACCACTAACATATTTTCTGTCTCTATAGGTTTACCTATTCTGGATATTACATATAAATGGAATCATGTCCTTTGTAACTGTCTTCTTTCACTTTGCATAATGTTTTCAACGTTCATTCATGTTGCAGCCTTCTCAATATTTCCTTTTTATTGCTGAATAATATTCCATTGTATGACTATAACACATTTTACTTATCCATTGATCACTTGATGGATATTTGAGCCATTTCTACTTTTTAGATGTTAGGAATAATGCTGCTATGAACACTTATACGCAAGTTTTTACATGGACGTATGCCTTCATTTCTCTTAGGTTATATATCTAAGAAAGGAATTACTGAATCATATGATAACTTTATGCTTAGACTTTTGAGAAATTGCCAGACTGCTTTCCAAAATGACTGTGCCATTTTACATTCCCACAAGCAATGTATGAAGTTTCTAATTTTTCCGCACCCTCGCCAACACTTATTATCTGTGTTTTTGATTCTTGCCATCCTAGTGCGTGTGAAGTAGTTTCTCACTGTGATTTGGATTTGCATCTTCTTGAAGGCTAATGATTTGGAGCATCTTTTCATGTGCTTATTGTCTCTTCTTTATATAAATGTCTATTCAGATCCTTGGCCCATTTTTTATTTGGGCTATTTGTCTTTTTATTATTGAGTTTTAAGAGTTATTTTTATTTATTCTAGATATAAATCCCATATTAGATAGGTGATTTGCAACTATTTCCTCCCATTCTGTAGGTTTCTTGCTGGTGTCATTTGAAGAATAAAAGTTATGCATTTTGATGAAGTCAAATGTGTATGTTTTCTTTTGTTGCTTGTGCGTTTGATCTCATATCAAAAAACCATTGCACAATCCAAGGTCATAAAGAGTTATGTCTATATTTTCTAGATTTTTATCATTTTAGTGCTTACATTTAGGTCTTTGATCTTTTTTGTGTTAATTTTTTATGTTTTTGTGAGGTAAAGATCCAATTTCATTCTTTTGCATGTGATATCTAATTATCCAGAACCACTTGTTGAGAAGGCTAGTTCTTCCTCACTGGATTATCATGGTACCCTTGTCAAAAATAAGTTGACTGTAAATGTGAAGGTATGAGTTGTTAAATACCTCTTCTGTGAGATCTATAATTTATTTTCTAAAAGGATAAGTTATAGGTCACATCTCAGATTACAATGACTCTTTTAAGTCAAAAAATTCAAAATAGAATTTACATTCAAAATTGTTTGTTCTCCCAGAGCTAGTTAATAAACTCTATTCACAGATAAAAGCATGCTTTCCCTTCAAAGGCATTTCACCAAGACAAGAAACACAAATCTAAATAAGCTGGGAAACTGTGGATACACAGAGGTTCTCCTTAATCTCTGGATATATGGTCTAATTTATCCTTTTTGTGCTCATTTTTTCCCTTTTATCCAGAAATATGACATTACCTTTTTATAAAATTCCTGGAGATTGATCATATCTCTAGTGTTTGGGTCTAGAATGTATTTCTTGGCTAAAACATCTCTTTACCCCACTTCCACATGTGGAAAGAAAGAAAACATGGGACTTTAATCTCACAAATGAGGCATGGGGTTGTTTCCTGAAATGAGACAAGGACTTTGGACAGGAACATGTTTGGGCTTGAGATGGTTTTCGTAAACCCAAATGATTCTAGTTCTAGTCTGCCTTTATTGCTCACTGTATTTTGTTTTCATTCATACTGATGAATAATAGACTTGATTGTGTTCCATCATTTATGTCATTAATATTTCCTTTATGTTTGAGTGCTGTGCAGTTCTCCTTGAAACTTGTATGGGGATTGAACTTGGTGGTGATTTAAAGTAATTAATTCATATGTCAGTTGTTAGCAAGGCCTAGTAATTAAAATCTACTTTAGAGTAAGTTATTAACTCTCCAAAAAAAATGCTTTATCAACTTACCAGTTTTAGCTATTTATTCTACTAGACAGATGAGATAGGGTAGTTATTGACTGTACATAATCACCTATGTACTTTCACCACTGAACACTAGGGTCAAATTGAAGTCTAGGTTATTAAAGTTCATTGTTTAAATCTAGAATAAACCAGTTCAGGTTGATGGGGGAAGGAGGAGAGTGCCCTTGGATCTTGTTATCTTTGCAATATTGTCTCCTTAGATTTTGCAAAGTCCATTTTTGCTGTCTTCAAAATTCTCAAACTTCTAAACTAAAAACACCCTAGACCAAGGATTTCATTTTGAGATCTAAGATATCAAAGTGCTATATTGTTTATGATTTATTTTATAATGCTTTTTAGAAAAACAAACTTTAGATGCTATGATTTCCTTGTGAACAGGCTGCAGGGAAGAAAACAAGTTACATGTAATGCATGGGACACAAGTGCAGGCCTTTTATTTGCAGGCCTAAACTAGTCACAAGTTTCCATCTTATGATAGCAAGTTTTCTTTTATTCTGCTTTGTTTTTTGTCTTGACATCCGGTTACATTTATTCAGTTTGAGGGTGTCTTATAATGGGCCCTTTGCTTCCCTCCATTTGACTTGTGATGAACTACTACCAAGGTCAATCCAGGTCTGACTCTTTCATGGAGTCAGTGTGGCTGGGGTAGTGTTTCCCAAGCCAAGCTTGGCATCAGAATTACCTGGGTGGTTTGTAAAGAACTTTTCGGGCCTCGTTCCAAACCTACTAAATTTAGATCTCTGGTGTGGAGCCTGTAAATCTGTATGTTTGAAACCTTCCCAAGGTGATTCTGATGTCCAGTCATGTTTGGGTCATAGTCCAGAATGCAGTCATGCATTGCTTAATGACAGGGATATATTCTGAAAAATGTGTCATTAGGTAATTTCTTCATTGTAGGAACATCACAGAGTGTGATTACACAAACCTAGATGGTATAGCCTACTACACACCTAGGCTATGTGGTATAGCCTATTGCTCCCAGGCAACAAACCTGTACAGTACGTTGCTGTACTGAACACTGTAAGTAATTGTAATACAATGGTAAGTATGTGTGTATCTAAATGTATCTAAGCATAGAAAAGGTACAGTAAAAACACAGTATTAGAATCTCATGGAACCACCATCATATAAGAGGTCTGTAGTTGAACTGAAATGTCGTTATGTTGCCCATAATTGTACTTGGATTTCAGGACTCTGCAGATGCTTGGAGGTCTTATGGGTTTGGTCTTATGAGAAACTGCCGTCTGCTTGCCAGGGATTCTGAAAAGACCAGAGTTGCCTATTTGCAATCTGTTCTTCAAGACTATCTACTATGTTGGAAAAAGGCCTAGGTTTCTTCTCTGTCCATTCTCAATCCCTCAGTCTGTCCTTGTGACTTATTTGCTCCTTCAAGCTGCCCAGTAGTGGCGCTGGTGAAAATAAAATAGACTTTGGTCCTATAGACCTGTCACGGACTCTCAGCTCTGCCTCTTCTATGTGTGCCATTTGCCTCATCCATAAATTTAGTTAATATTGTCCTCTCAAAGATGTTGTGAAAACCAGAAGAATGTATTTATGTAACACCTAGAACAAGTATACCCTGCATTAGGCATTATTTGTTTGGTTTTACCTGTCCATCTCAATGAACATGCTGGGTTAATGAAGTGTGTTCATCAATTTTCCCTGATCGTAGCCTTTTAGATTGCTCTGGGTAGTGTTTCTCAAAGTAGGAGACACAGACCACCTACCTGTGATTGATGAGAGGACAGAAATCTGCTCTTATGCACTCTAACCTTCTGCACTTTTCAACTTTTTATTGAAAAATATATATAGAAAGGTGGATTTATTGTAACTGAACAGCTCAGTGGCTTTTCCTAAACTGAACACACCCATGTAACCAGCACCCAGATCAAGAAACAGAACATTACCAGCACCCCTGAAGCCTCCTCTGCAGGCACACTTTAAGAACCACTGGTCTGGGAAGAGCCTAGCTGGGGCACTGTCCTAAACCACCGACCTGCCTTTCCCTAGCAGGCCAAATCTGCATGCAGTGTCAGCTATTCCCAGTCTGAGAGTCTGGGCATGTAGCCTCACATACACGCTTCATAGTGATGCGGCTTCATTTGTAAAAAGGGTCACAAAGGGTGTTTCTATCATTTATATTCCTAGCATACACCCTAAACTGCTTAAAGCAAATGAATTCAGGTCCCAGCCAAAAAGGAGTGGAGATCAGTCATTGCCTGAAAGCATTGGCTGATTACAACACTCCAGCATTTTCTCACGGAAGGGTGAATGAGGTGGATTCTAGTGTAATTACCTTTATGTAATTGAAAACTAAATCACCGATGGCTGCAGAGTTTAAATATCCATTTAAATACTTTCAATTTATTGCACTTATTTTTGCAGGACGTGCTACTACCAAATATGCTATTAATTTTTCTAATGGATTAAAATCTGAATAGGTACATTAAAAACTAGCACAGCTCAAATAAATGTCCTCTTTTTCCAAAGATTATTAAAGAGAGTTTTCTTTTTCTTTAACCCAGCTATTCAAATACTCTATTAGACCAGGACCTGT